CTCAATGCATTAAACGCTATGTATAAATTTTGAATTTTGACCATAATTCGGTCATTTCTGGCCATTCGCCGATTATCTCAAAAGAAAATACATCTATGAACCGTGCGGAACATGTCCATACCAATTAGAATGGGCTACGCCACTTATCCCCCAAAATAATTCCTTTTAAGGAATATTTAATGTCTTATTTTATTCAACAATACATACAATCTTTCACTGTATCCAACATTTAAAAATGTTTTACAACAAATAAAAGTTATTTTTATATTAAAATAAAATTGTATTAATTTTTATATTTTTTAATAAGCAATTTATTGTTGCATTAATTTCTGTTTGAAAACTCGTTATTTAGTAAAATTCAAAATTACTTCATTTGATCGAAAAGTCAAATGTGTTCACAATTGCAGTCATTCTCACGAATATTCTTCACTAAACTCTAACTAATCCTCTCTTTTCACACATTATTTCAGACATCAATGGAAACTACAACCAAATCAACACATCTTTCTCTCGAAACTACTCTGAATTCAAGAACTGAACACTGGTTTCGACTCAAGGCATGGATTTAAAGAGTCTTCAGGTAAGAGACTAACCATTTATTGAACTCAAACCTAAGTATGGGTTAATGCCATGACTTGAGGACTGACGGCACCCAAAGGTAGATACAGTTCGCCTGCGGGTCCGTAACGTAAGTCCGTCAGTCCTCGANATACAGTTCGCCTGCGGGTCCGTAACGTAAGTCCGTCAGTCCTCGAGCGGAAAGGTGTCAAACCTTTAACCGATAACAGAAGGCATTCCCACACTATTCCTCCCATTCTCTTAGGTTTTAGACAAACAACTCATTGATGGCCACAAACAAAGACATCCCATTCTTAAGGAATTGAAGAAACTGTTTGGCACTCAATAACTATTGGATTTTACATTTAATTTAAGGTAAATATTGTTTTGAGTATTTAGTTTCCACGAGAATGACTGCAATTGTGAACATATTTGACACTAAATTATAACTTTACATAAAATAAATAGTTTTTTTTATTAAAATATTTGTATTTATTTTTATTAATAAAATTGTAATTGTTTGTCTCAATAAATCTGAAGACAATTCATCTCTCATTCAATTAATACAATGGATTTGAATAGGAATTTATTTTAGATTAATTACTATTAAGAGCTTCTTCTTCAAAGTCTGTCATTAAATACTTGTTAAATAAGATATAAATTACGATATAATAAAAAGCTAACGATTTATGTTTTTTAAATTTCTTGATATTTAGTAATGGAATTGAAATAATTTAATGAATGCACAAATAAATAATTAAATTTTATTTTTTATACATTTATTATAAATTGCTTTATAATGGCTTGAGTTAAATGAAATTTCATTTTTATAAAGTAAAAAATTTTAATTTATTTTAAATAAAACTATTTCAATTATTTTTTACTATAGGTAAAGAAAATGAAAAATTTAATGAAAAATTATGTAAATAGTAACTAAAATTTAACTTAAAACCAAATTTTTTAATACCAAAAGTGATTATTATTGTTATTATGAATGTCGTTTTGGCATAAAGTATATCAATCTCGTCAGCATCGATGAAATGCACTGCAATTGTAATTAAATTATTAAATAATGAAATGACAAACTCTATGTCTAACCGGTATTTGTTTCTTCTTATGGTAAGCCTTTTTGTCGGGCGAATAGGACTCGAAATAATAGGCAACTCTTTGGTTAACAATTGTGAAGAGAGTTAGCAAATCATAGTTTGATTTATAACAGTATTCATTCATAGCTAACACCAATTCTTGGATAAATACGGACCCGGTTTCCACATTTCGGAAAGAAAAGTGACCTTAATTTTAAAGTTATATATAATTAGCAATACTTTATATAAAAAGTTGAAACATCTGTGAATACCCGGAGCGGTGCTGTAGTAGACAAGGAAATCAGCAATTGTTGGGATTTTATAGACAATTTCATGATTGCTATCCACTTCATCCACACCAAGAGTTTTCATTTTAATACCAGAATCGATGCCTTCTCCACGACATGCCTTAATCGGTGTAATTATTACATAGTTTTTCAATTCTATGTTTATTTATTGGTATAAAGACCTGAATTATAAATATTTTGGGTTTGCCTACAAGTGTTGGACAACGGTCTCCAGTAAAGTATGCAAACAATGTGTCGATCGGGTATTTGGCATTTCGGGCCCAAAGGCTCTGTTCGTCGCCGTGTGTTAGCACTACAACTACAACACAGTCGCTGTCCGAGTGGTCTTCGATCGCCACTGAATTGGTTTAAAATATACATGTCTTTAAAATAATGCATTTCCTCTTAAACGTTAATTTACTGACTTTTAGTCATTGTTTGTTTAATGTCTCTAAAACTGCCGTCATTTACACAAATCACATCAAACTGCAGTCGTTTAAAGCATTTGATAACATCTTCGGCGTCCCTATCAGTTCCCGGTCGGGGCTTAACATCCGATTTGTCAAATTTCCGGTGATTAAAGACAACACATTTGCCACGATTTTGGTGTTTCATATCGTATGAGACACTATTGGCCGCAATATTTAATACACCAATCGATTCATTTGTTTGACTTTCTCTTAGATCCAAACATTAAAACAAAATTATAATTATATCAAACAATTGATTCTTGTCAGAAATGTCAGAATTCAATACAAATTTAATTCCAGTATTTAACAATTTATTCCCGATTCTTAATTGGATTTGGTTATTTTTAATTCCCAATTGTATTGTATAGTCCAGGTATTGAGGTTTTAGTAATTGTGAATTAATATTTAATTATAGCCTAATATACAGCTAATTGAGTTGATAAACAATTGATGAAATCATTAATCTCTAGTCTAATGATAAGACTTTAATCAATGCGATGACAAACTTTAATACAATTTCCTATTTTTTGTATTAAAAAATATTTATTTAAATTGTTTAAAGCTTTTGAAGTTATAAATTGAGTTATTTTAAAAATCTTTATTTCTAACAAATTTCAATAGAATTTAAGTTGTTTTAAATATAATTAACTAGTTGTAAATATTATGACACGATTATAATAAAATTGTTGAGTACATACCCAACCTTAATGACTTTGGCGTCAACTGAATCGCTGTTCAAATCCATTGAATAAAATTCAAATTAAATTAAATTAAATAAATAAATAAATATGAAAACAATTGTAATGAATGGTTTGATTTTGAATGTTTTCATTGACATTACATATAATAAGTAAATACCAATTTATGATTTCACTTTTTTATATGTGATAACAATTATCACTGCTTTAAATGATTGGCTTAAATTAATCGGATATTACGTAAAATGTTTGAATAAAAAGTATTATTTTAGTTTACATTCATTAACACAAATACACTTTAATTGCTTCAATATTTTATACAATGTATGAAAATTGACATAAATTCTCATTTGTAATAAAAATTTATTAACAAATTCATTTAATATAATTATATTATTATTAAAACATATAATCAATAAATTGAAAAATATCTACTTTTTTCATTAAACATTTGTCTCAAATTATTTGAATTTATAAATTTAAACATTGAATAATTAAAACATTAACTTTTTATGGTTTCGGTCTGAAGTATATTAATCTTGTGAGCATTGATGAGATGTGCTGTGAGATACATAATAAAAATCAAATTAAAAAGTAAATAATTTATACATTTATTATAATTAAAATATATATCAAACCGGCATTTGTTTCTTCCCGTGAATCTCAGGTCTCTTTGAATTATGGGATTCAAACTTAATGGCCACCAATTGGTTAACGAGTGTGAATAAAGTGACCAGGTCGTGATTGTATTGATAATTACCATTATAACAACAATTATTCAAAATGTATACTAAATTGTCGATGAAATAAGAGCCGGTGACCGGATTTCGGAACGAATAATGACCTGAATATTAGAAATGATGAATAATTCGAAAGTAATTTTATAAGATATAAATTATAATAAAACAATTTAAAATGTATATCAAATACCGGGAGAAGTGCTGTAATAAACGAGAAAATCAGCGTTTGTTGGTATTGTGTAAATACGTTGAGGAGTTGTGGGGGCAGATGTAAAGGCAGGTGTAGGCCCGAGGGCTCTTAACGTTGATCCAGGGTCTACCTTCCCTCCCCGACAGGCCTTCAATACACAGTATAAGTTGTTATTTTTGAAATTATCAGTTCCCAGAATGTAATGCATACTTGAATTATAAAAATTTTGGGTTTGCCTATAAGTGTCGGACAACGATTGCCATTAAAGTACTCAAACAATGTTTCCGTCGGGTATTTGACATTTTTGGCCCAAAGGTTGTGTCCGTCGCCGTGTGTTAGCACCACAACCACAACACAGTCGCTGTCCGAGTGGTCTTCATTGCAAACTTAATTTTAATTCAATTAAAACGGTGTCTAAAATTGATTTTCCAATATAAAACTTGTCAACCTTGTTGCATTTTAGTTTCAATGGTTTGAAGTGTACCGTCCTTTACAACCTCAACAACAAATTGTAGTCTTTGAAAACATCTGACTATACGGTCGACATCCTCTTTGGTGCCCTCCCGGGG